AACATCCGACGAAGAAGTTGCGGCATTCACGCGCAGCTTGATTGCTGAAGACACGTTCTGTTTTCTTGCCTGGTTGACCGGCAGGTCAAGAATGAGTTTCTTTGGCATTAAATCCTCCTCCTCTACCGAAGACGTTTGTTTCTTCACTGCATTTCCGAAATAGATGAAGTGACCACCAATTGACCTCCGAGAAGAGCGCATTTGGCCGACTTGCATAACCACCATCATTCAAATGGTAAGCAAGAAAGCTACCAATAGCCAGTCCATTGTTTGAAGCACGTGCTCCTCATGCAGAATCTTAAAAATAATCTAGGGCTGCAAATAGCACACACAGATGTTTTAATGCAATTTTATTTTCACAGACACGCCAGAACAACCTGTGTGAAAATTAGAAAGAAATCATTAAAAAAAAGTTTGTTAAACCAGGTTTCTTGGACACAACAGTACCTTTTTGGATTCATTTTTTACCACCGAGAGCCACTATGCTATAGGAAAAAATAAGAGTGAGTTTCAGGATGTATCAATTTCAGTATTGTTTTTTATAAGGCCTAGCACCAACTACAAATTTTTCAAATCCAAATTTTCTGCCTAGGTTACTTTAGGAGGGACAAACTGCACTTATAGATAGCATGACTACACAGTCATGCTATCTTACAATATTAGTGTCTAGTGAAGCATGTCTTTACAGCTCGGTCCATGTTAAAACACTTGATAAGGGGCAACACCGTTATCAGTACTGTTCCTCCAGGATTATTTAATTATTTCTTACAATCCCCTGGTCATATTTTTGTCAGTCGTAGATATCTTCAAAACAGCAACTTTCACATATGAACGTTGATGCCATTTTGTAATATTACAGTATCTAGTCAAGCTTGCCCTCAGAACTTTGTCAATATTGAAGCTTTATAAGGGGCCACATAGTTATGGATATGACGGCTGTAAGACTATTGCTTAATTCCTCTTGTGCCCAAGTTTTCTTTGCGACACCACAAGAAGAAAAGTGCAGCTGCTTTTAAGCTTGCTCATACTACTATCGTATCTGCTCAAGCCTGCCATAACAGTTTTGTTAACGTTAAGAATGCTTGATGAATGGCCACGCAGGTACCATACTTACAAGACTATTGCTCACTTATGTCTGTGTCGCATTTTCTCTTGACAGATAGAATGTCTTGAAAAGGTCAAGTTTGTAGATAGTGCTTTGTAATGTTACTGAATGTAGTATTTTTTTTTATAATATTGTTGCGGGAAGAAAACAATATTACCAGTTTCATTGTAAAACCGGCAGTCGTGCCAGTATTCTGTTTTTTTTTTTTTAAAGCAGTTTCTTTACCTTATCAGTTATCAGGATGTCTACCGATTTGCTTTTTAAAAATTCCCTGACTTTTCCAGGTTTTCCATGATGATTTAAAGGAAGTTCCATGACCATTACATCTGCTTCAAAACTTTTGTGCACTGGAAACCAACCCACAAGTGGTAAAAAAAATCAGGCAATCCTATAAAATAAGTAAACAAATGTACTGCACCTGCTCAGAATGTTCTGAGCGCCCGCGGTAATTATGAAAAAAAAAATCTGCTCTGGCTAAAATGATACCTCTGTGCCAGAGAGTCAGCAAGTTGGCTGTTTGGCAGAATACAAACACAGGAGCTAAAATTAACTGCAGTTGAAAGTTTGAAGGAGTCCACGATAGTCCTACATCGTAGCCAAACTGCTAGAAAATGTAGAAGTGGCATCATTTTGTGGCATCTGTGTGAAAGGAGGACACCTGAGCCTGACCGGTTTCGCCACTGGAGCATATTCTAGTTCATTATAATGGTTACAGTGCAGGCATCTTAGGATGTGGATTGGATTGAATTAAATCGACCTGTATTTATTGACTTTGCTATTTACGATGTGCATTGGATTGGATCTGATGCAACCTAAATTGCTGTATTTACTATTGATTTGCATCCCCATCTAAATTGTACACCTCTAATATATACTTTTCAGCCAAAAAATAATAATAACTATATACTACTCGTGTATTCTGTGCACCTTGCCTTGACAATGACTAACAATGTCCCCAGAACAGAGCCATGATGCATAATTTTCTTCTTTTTTTTTTTTTACAACAAGCACGTGCATGTTGATGTTTTACTTCTCTGGGCTCTGATGCTTAGAAATTGATAAAGTCCTCAGATGTCTGCAATGAAGGCTAATTTATCTGATATGTGGCATTTAACATCCCAAAACCCTCACACCGTTATGAGAGACGCCTTAGTGGAAGGCTCTGAAAATTTTGACCACTTGGGGTTCTTTAACATGCGGCCAAATCTGAGCACTTGGGCCTACAGCATTTTCACCTCCATCTGAAATGCAGCGGCCACACAGCTGGGATTCGATCCCGCGGCCAGCGGGTCAGCAGTCGAGTACCTTAGGCACCAGACCACCCCAGCGGGGCGGCAATGAAAGCTAGGGGTAACGTTTAAAGTGATGACGTTTGTATATGTGCTGGTAAGAAGTAACCTGTCTGGTCGCAACAGCTCCCTTGATTCCACAGGTTTATCGCTTGTGTGCTCTTCTATGGACATAATGCTGCTGAAAACTAATCACAGATTTATTAATACCATCTCAAGAAACTGCAATACGAAATTTAGATGAAGTTACCCAACTCTACCCTTGAAATGGGAGCTACCAGCAATAAGTGCATAGCTGAGGACATTTGCTATTGTATTACAATAATAATAATGATAGTAATGATATTAATAATAATAAAAGGCATCACATAGCCCGGCAAGCTTTTGCTAATGACAGTTCTATCTGAAACAGAGGGCCTTGAAGCCGAACCGAAATCATGGTCAACACAAGCATGCACAAATTTACCGACGTGTGTAATATTATGGTTGGAAAGTCAGATATGCTGTGCGATATGTACAAGCAACAGACATCAAAATAGCGAATGTACCAACACAGAAGCAAAGGAATGCTTCAGACATCATGAAGAACAAGTCGCGAACCAAAAATTTCCATAGTCTATTTTACTCTTTAGGCTGCCACATCTGTGGCAACCAGTACATCGGTGAGACCACTGATTTCAAGAAAACGGTGCTGTCATGTCACCTACGTACCACCGCATGTGCAGCATTTCTCTTTTGCGTGCGCGGTGTGCAAAGTCACTGCGTACTCTTTGAATCGTCCACTTCCCGTGTAGCTATGGCAAGCGTCAAGAAGCACAAGACCCTTGACTTTGTGATAATGTTGAAGGTTATTCAATGTGTTGAGGCCGGCAAGAAATGTTCGACCATCGCGGATGACTTTAGGATACCACCGAGCACTCTGAGAACCTTGTTGAAAAACAAGGCAGATAACAACGCATAGGCGGCAGAGCAGCGAACTTCGGGAGCCTGTCATGTGCGCGCTTCTGGCCACGGGAATGCAGAAAAGGCACTTTATGTCTGGTTTTTAGAAGTACGCACGAAGAACATTTTGATGGATGGCCTGATGCTGATTGCCGCTGCACTCAGTGAAACAACTTTGCCGACAATGACTGGCTTCACCGATTTAAGCAGCGCTACAACATCGTTGGCAAAACCATTTCTGGCGACATCGAATCTGTCAGCAGCCAGGACATCCAGCAGTGAATGACGAAGGAGTGGCCGAAATTGCCGCGAAGTTTTTTCCCGCGGAGATATTCAGTGCCTGGCGAGACATGAAGACGATCACAGTGGTCAACTGCTTCCTCAAGGCAGTCTTAGAGACGGCAGAACTTTTGAAAACAGGTGAAGACGCCGTTGCCGAGCGCATAGATGACGCGTTTCGCTAGTTGTCGTCCCACTTCCACACAAAGTGCCTGCGGACGACTTCGTGGAAGCGGACTGCAATGTCCAGGCCAACAGCTCATGTGACGAGGAGGATCGTCTGGATGAGGTGCTGGCTACATGCACCTACTCTGCCGCTGAAGTGGCGGCAGCGCTTGGCATCATTCACCGTTGTATCGGCCACATGGAGGGAACCAGGCTGTCGCACCTGGACAACCTTGATAAAATCGAGACTAGCGTCTTCAAGATTTCAAAAACAAAGAAGCAGGCCAAGATTAGCGATTTTTTTTACAATAATAAATCATTCTGTTACGGAGTGTGTGTGGAATTAGTTGTCATTCGTGAATGCGCCTATTGTAGGCGATGATCGACTACAGGTAGGCTTTCAGGGCCTCTATTTTTTTATATTGAATTTTTCACATATCAAACTAATTTGCAATCCCCTTTGAGTTCGATATATCCGTATTCAACTGTAAAGCTATAGCAGCTTTATAGATAAGCATGCTCACAACATGATGCAGAATTTTCGCTGCTCTGTCGTTCACCCTTTTTGAAATAAAAACCTACAAAGTAGACGAAAAAACGTTTTTTTGGGTCAAATTCGAGTATTTAAAAAAATTATGTACACCATCTAGAGACACGAAAAATAGCTGAATGCAAGTGAAAACATGCATATATTTAGCTAAACAAATTTGATGTACGTAGCTCTAATATATTTTGTGTAATTCCTCGCCAAAGTCAGAAAAAACTGCTGAGCAGGTAAGTGTTGCGCTCCATCTCTTCATCATTATTTAATTACTGTGCTTTGAAAAAAAAATTTTTCCCGCAAAACCAATTGCGGCTCTCTTCTTTCCACTCGACCGGCCATGCTTTGTTTGACCTTACATGAAATCACCCTGTTGCATAACTGTAATGCAGATAATCGGAGAATGCTACGTTCTCAACCATGGCCTTTTTATACCGTTATTGAAGCAAGAACAAGTGCGCTGAAGCGCTGTCAGTCACGCAGCTTTGCTGAAAAAACTTACGAGGGGACGTGGCAATGAGAATGGCATATTTGGTCAAAATGTTCAATTTTTCAAATAATTTTTTTCTGCAATCTTGAGACTATGTTTCACATCATGGCGAAATATTAGACCAAAATATGCAGTAGAAGTTGAGAAGAAAGCCTTTCACTGGTGGGCTGTCGTTCCAGGCAAGCTCACCTGTTTCCAGATGTGTCCAATGCAAGCGTGAGCACGTACATGTCCTCCTTGACTTCATCCAGTGGGCAGCCTTCAATACGGCCATCCTACAAGTGCATGGGAAGACACCAATTCAATGGGTTCTATTTGAAACAGCTCAAAACACCCAGAGCAACACAAGTTCTTTATGAAAACAAAATGACAAAATAAAGGAAAGAAGAAAGAACAGAACAAGCACGAGCAACCAATGCATATGACAAAAAGATCACAGACATCTGACTAAGTCAACTCACAATCGAGCAACGAAATGGACGATGTACTAGCACACGTGTTGCCATTTGTACAGAAAGTGAATGCTTTGGCTAGCTCCCTCATGCAAGAATCATTGTGCCAGAAAAAATTCTGAGGAGCAACCACAGTGGGCAGACAAATGGGTACACAACATGCCCTTTAAACCACTATAGTGCCCGAGCAGGCAAACGATGAGGCAGCGTTTTCCCCACATAAACCTTACCGCACGACTGCAGAACAGAATATACGACATTGCTATAGCAAGGGCACTGATGCAATCAACTGAAGCCATTTCAGCACAGCTTCTGAAGCAGCTAAAATCCTGCTTTCGAACAGTATAACAGCCTTTTAGATCAGTTACCGAGCAAACATTTTCAAACACAAATATTTGTCTCTGTTCCATCTTTAACAAACTCCATGATTAACAAAAACGGTTAGATGCATAAATGCATGTATCTATACTTCTTAAAATACTCCAAAAGATGCCACAATGATACTGCTTATCATTTTCTTGCAGACAGCCTGAAGTTTCTTCGAAGCTGCGACTTCAGGAAATCTAGCATATTCCCAGAATCCACCTCATATTTGTAAACAAATATCTTTCCCTGATGCTTCAGTTACAGTACTGAAAGCACAATCTGTCTAAAATTTCTATGCACTCTGTTTATCATACAGAAAGATTATTCTAATGACACACATACTTTCAGAACAACCTAGGGCTTCGAAGCTTGATGAAGGGCCTGTGGTCATGCTTTATGAAGAGAATTGTTAGAAGGCTAGTGCACGGATGGTTCATAAAACACAAGGTTGAATAATTGGTCCTTTGTGCCCACAATATCATTTGTGCTCCACAAAATCTGGTAATGTGAAGTTTTATGTTTAACTTTGGCAAGTTTCAAACATGAACTGTTGCTGCAGCCGAGAAATAGCACATAGATATTAGAATGCCGGGACACCATGCTTTCTCAGCAAAATCTCACAGACGACTACACGAGTGGTATTGTTGATAGAGTCAGGTGATTGTTCACCAATTATAAGTTGAGCACACATCAGGAACTTTTATCGAAGTACGTATATCCCAACAAACAGTACCATTTTTTTTAAAAACTACTAACTTTAACAAAATGGTGTATTCAAGCACATGCACTGCTTGAATACAACAGTTAGAAGCCATTTTACAGAGCTGTAATATAGTATAGTAGCATAAGTCAGTCTAAATTGTTTGGTTGCGCCTAGCAACTACATCTACTAGATAGTACACATCAGCATGCTCCAATGGCCACTCAAAATTACAGTGGTAGACTAACTATGATTTGCAAGCATGTTCGATCTTTCCTACAAAAGATTGCAGAACAGGCACATGCTAGGGAAAAAGTTATGAAATTTTTGCAAAAATGTAGCAGGATGTAGCGTATTCACTTCTTGGCACAGTTTAGCACAGCTTCACGGAAGTTATTGCAAATTAGTGATGTCAGCGGGGCTGCGCAAGCCCACCGGTGCCACGATGCAGTTTTTTACCTGTGCGCGCGCAGAGCTCCCTGTCCCAAGTTTTCCTATTTGCAATGTTCATAGACTGTCACGCCGCTTAGCGGAATGCAGGAGCGTCCTCTATAGGATCATCAGTAGGCAGACGTTCCCTTGTTCGGCGGCGCTAGCCTCAGTATTAACGCGTTAACAAGAAACAAACACAAACCCCTTTGTATGCTTCATGCATCAGTGAATATATCGGACCGTCCGTGACGCGATAAATCTGATTTGTTCTTGCGAGACGCGAAGTTTTCGTGAAAATGCGTGGCAACTCGTGCTTGACGGCTGGTGGACAGGCGGCCTTCCACGTTTTTTCCTGCCGCTCAACAAAACATCCAAAGCGCGAGACTGCTTGGCTTGGGCGTAATCCGCGCATCTAAGACTTATTATAGCTGCCGCGTCATAAAGCGCTTCCTCAATCTCTTCATCGCCCGGCAGCCAACTTGCTACTAATGGTGTTCCTGTATTCAGCTGTGGAGATGGTGAAGACTTTGAGGGCGGAGGTAACAGCTACATGTGTGCGAAACTGTTTTCGCGAGGCCGACTTTCTCGACGACGGACTCGATGCCGAGCCTGAACCTTCTCAACAGAAGCACTCCCACAGCAATTTGAGACAGCACATTGTCGACTGGGAGGGTGCAACATCTGCTGCGGTGATTTCATTACAGCCGATAGTGATGCCGACACTGAGGAACCATGCGCAGATGAGGGCATTGTAAATAAAGTGCGTGGCAAGGGCAATTTGGAGGAATCGGATGATGACGATGACGAAATTTTGGAGCTACTCAGAAGCATGCCTGTAGCAATTGGCTACATTATTAGCTTCAGGCAGCTTGTACATGCCACGGACCTCAACCAAAAGCCCGCTGCGGCTTTAGATGAACTCTAGACCACTCTTATCGCTTCTGCTCTTTGAAACACATGCATTACAAATTTTTCTGCACAAAAAAAAAAAAAAAACGTGGTACATCCCCCTTTTTAAGAATTGGTATAACATGAAAGGGAAATGTGTCCTCACAGAGGTTGTTGAGCATTCATTGTGCATTGTTTCACCACAAGGCTGAATGAATGAATGCTTCAGTCATGCGAAAAACGGCAAGCAGCTCAAGGCTTGCAGCACACACCTAAAGCAGAAAGCCTGCTCGAAATCAGCCTACAAAAGACCAACGCCTCCTTTATTTCTTTCATGCCAGTGCAAACACTAGCTTCTCAACAGAGCTGTCAGTCTGCCTTCTTGAAGAAAGAGGTGTTTAATGAGAAGAAGGAGGAGAGGTTGGCCTCGAAAGTGGACATCTGGCCTGCTACTCCTCACGGGGACAAGGGGAAAAGGGAAGGAAAGAGTTGGGTTTGATGAGGGGTGATTGTGGTAGAGCACAATCAGTCACTGCGCCATTTTCGCTTCTGCATCAGCTTGTTCATTCCCAGCTATGCCACAATGACTGGGAATCCATTGCAACGCAACGGTATGTCCGGATTGAAATGCCTCATTCAACATATTCATTATGTCACACACCAGAGGACTATATGCAGTGTCTTGTTTTATGTAGTTTCTAATTACTTGAAGTGCCGGCTTGGAGTCGCCTTCGTTCAGAGAGTGGTTGTGATGCGCCACTACATGATGAGTAGCGCTGCTTGTGTCAGACGTGCTTCCAAGCACTTTCCCCCATGGATGCGATAGATGTGTTTCCCACTCCAATATCCTACGTCCGTCAGGTTTGTTCCTTCATGCTGCTTCTTTGTGGCTTGAAGCAACGCCGCCACGACACAGAGCACGACATGCAGAAGCGTTGCAGTGACGCTTCCCCATTGGTTGCCTGTATAGCGCCACGAACAACCACACACTATTTCAAAACACTGTATCAGTTAGTATGAGGCAACCATTAGCGGCGTGTTGTGTGTAGCGCAATCAATACGGCTGATGCAGAGCAGGGAGCCAGTTCCCGCCCCATCAACTAACGAAGCTGATCAGTCCTGCTAAGGTGAACGCGGGATACCTGCACATGGGAAATAAAGGAGACTTCTTCATTAACACGATTCACGAGCGGAGCCGTCAAGGTCGCCCCCGTTTGGGACTAGAAGGGGAAAGCTTACTCGGAAGAGCGTCTTGCAAGAAGCAGGCCAAGCGCCGCCTTCTGAGTTTAAGTCATGGTAGGCATGCATATGTGCTATTGAGAATGACACAAGGACGCGACCACTGGGCTGACAGAGACATGTTGGTGGCACCCAGACAAGCTTATTTCCCCCCGCTATACGTCATTACCAGATGTTAGGTTGGCAAGGTGCCTCATATGATGATGATGTGTGGCACTTTATGGCGCAAGGGCCAATTGATGGCCAAATAGCACCATTTCAATGACTAGAGATGTGGACAATGATATGTTGCGTGGCTGTATAGGGGCCTTAAAATTCCTCACTCTAATGCGGGTAAGAACATAAGTATTAAAATAATGACAGTGGTGTGATATGTATAGTAAAAATTGATGACAAAAGGTTTTGATAATAAAAACATGTGTAAAATATTTGGCACTAGCACAAGTGCCTCATCAGCGCCCTTGTGTCCAAGGGCCGCGAGGCAAGTGCTTTTCAATGTAGCCACTGCAGCAACAACCTCTCTTGAGAGGTCGCGCTACACAATGCCTGGGTATATGACATGGTAAAAGCGGACATCTCTTAAAAAAGCTAGCACCGATTTATGAGTGAACAGTGGTTCCCTACCGACAAACATTGCAGGGTGGAACGTTGCAGATTGTCGGTAGGGTAATGGAAAGTGTTGTTTTCTTAGAGTGTCTAATTGATTGCACTGGATTAAAATGTGAGGAACTGTTAGTGGTTAACTACATCTGTCACACAATGGTGGATCGCCATCGGACAAAAGATATGAGTGTGTCGTGTATGTGTGTCCTATCCTGAGCCTCGTTAGTGTTACCTCTGTATGACGTGATTTTGATACAGGTGGCCAATGGCCAAGGTGTGGCTTAATAATGTGTAGTTTGTTTTGTGTGTGTGTATCCCACTTGCTCTGCCAGTAGTCCCTGATGTTTCGTTTGAGAGACGGCTTAAGATCAAGGGCCGGGATTAATATGGGTGTAGGGCCAGTGCTTTTGTGGACGGATGCAGCAAGATGATCCGCCCTCACATTGCCTTGGATCTCACGGTGCCCTGGCACCCAGCACACAACAAAATGTCGGTTGAGTGTGTAGAGTGTGCATAAAATGGAGTAAAGTGAAACGAGGACAGGGTTTTTTTTGTTCTTTAAGACTGTGCAGAGCCGTTACCACACTGAGGGAGT